ACCACACTCAGAAGGACTACCCATTGCTATGGAATATGGTAGAGTCAGGCAGCTAGCACTAGACTTTCATATATATATATTTTTTAATGTGTACCGTCTGCCATCTATCAGACTGGCATGTTTACCTTGAGCTTTTGACTCACTACTGATTTTTGGGCCTCCAGATCTACCGCTCAAGCAGTGAACATGGTAATAGCTGTTCCTCTGGGATTTGCTTTCTTGACTTAGAGAGCACACATACTCTTCAAATTACTTTAGCCTCCTGTCTCAGTCCTTTTCAAATGACAACTCAGAGTCTACCAAAATTAGAAGGAGCTGTGAAACTGAAAGAGACAAACCTGAAGATTCATTTAGGTCCAACCTGGGCCCACTGAGGCAGGAGGACTGGCTTGGGCCCAAAGATTTGCATTTTTGCAAGTTTCTAGTAGTTTTAATATACTCCACCCTAAAGGTTTAAATATCCAGCTCTTCCTCCATGCCAGCTTTTTTGGCTCCGAGTCTCTGTCCCTCTGCTTTACCCATTCTTTACTCACTCAACCACTGCTCTCCTTGTGGTGCCACAGACTTCCTGTTCCTTTCTGCAAGGAGGGACCCTCACGATATAGGGCCCTCGCTATTTTTATCTCTTATGACTTCTGGACATTCATTCTGTCATCAGCCACACTTCAAAGGACTCATCTTGTGCTGAGATGTATGTCAGCTGCTCCCACAGGTCCCCGAAACCATACTTAGTGGGAATACTTGGACCTCTGTTCTCCTTTTACCCTGAGATGTTGAGGTTGGTAACTGGGAATGGGGTGAGATTTCTACAGGTTTAGTCACTAGGGAAATTGTCTATGTTTCTTTCTAAACAGAAGAGAGGGGTCTGGAGACATAGCCACAGGGTGACTGAGCATGAAGAAGATGAGTAACAGCAACAAATGACCACCCTTCCCCCAACAGTACAATACAAGTACAACAAAGAAAACACCAACAGCTCTTTATAAACTCATTCTTGGTCCTGTGATTTTTTTTTAAAGTGCAGATATAATAATAAAGGGAGGTTTTATAAAAGAAATCTCATCATGAAACCGTTTTGCAATCTTCTATTCTAACTGGATCATGCTGACATGCACCAGGAGGCTAGGAAGGCCAGGGCTTCTCCTGGGATTTCTGCTGAAGCTTGGCTCAGCCTCCAGGTCAGAGGTGGGGAAGCAGCTCAGTGTTGTTGGGAGAAAGGAGAACAGACACCATTGTTAGTTCCTGCTGATAATAGTGAGACCTGCGTGGGCAGACATGGCTTACCAATTGGCTGGGGGAGCATGTGTCTCAATGCAGTGGTTGTTCCTCACCTTTGTGTATAGAGAGGCTTGGCAGGCTAATGGGAATTAGGAAGCCTGCTAATCCTGGTAGACGTTCCAGTTTGAGAAACCCACTTCTAAAGATTAGCTTGGGTTGTCATGAGGCTGGTTAGAAAATCCATACCTAGTGTTCTGCTGCCTCTGGACCCCTCCTTCACAGGTCCCTTAAAAGAGACTTTTGAGAAATTGTTCCTAGACAAGCAAGCTCTTTGCTCTGTGCTCACTCATGTACTTATTTTCCAAATGCTGACAATTATAAGGCAGACATTGTATTTGCTCAGGCAAGTAAGGACAGACATGCCTTTGGGGTTGAAAGGCCGCTGATGGCAAAGGAGTTCAGGGGCTAGGAACACCTGGGTCCTTAGAGGCAAGGATTCGATGTCTGTTACAAATAGCATTGAAAAGGTCATGCATGATCTTGGTTCTGTAACCCATGATACTTTCATGCAAATGTCTACATATATATAAATGCACATTAATGTCCATCCACATGAGTGGATCTCTCTCTCTCTCTCTCTCTCTCTCTCTCTGTCTGTCTGTCTGTCATCTATCTATCTATCTATCTATCTATCTATCTATCTATCTATCTATCTATCTATCTGTCTATGGGCTTTCAATTCACTAGCCAGAACAGAACTATGCCTTTTCTGTTGCATTTGTTCACTTATCCAAAGCAGACAAGGACAGGGGTCCTACTCTAACCTCTAGTAATGCTGAGTCAAAGGTACCCCACAGTCAAGGTCTCCATAAAGGACAGATTCTTTGGGTTCCTAGACACAGCCTTTCTATGGATAGAGCTGGATAAAGAATGAGTGGGTGTCAGACAACACCAGCTAGAGAGGATTATGTTGCTCATCAGAAGCTTCCTATTGAGTTCTGAAAGCCATGTCTATTGAGTAAGCAGCAGAATCCATGCTCTTCTGCAGACAAGGCTTTGACAAACATGCCCCAAGAAGCTTGTCCTCCACTACACCAGAAAAGTAAGACTTCTTCATGAAGATCTCGACCATTTAGGCTCACTTGGCATCCAGCAGAGAGGTGAGAAGCTGGCACTGGGGAGGGAATGGTTATTAGCAATATTTTAATTAATTAATTAATTAATTAATTAATATCATTTTCCCAGGCTAGGAGTCAAACCTAGGGCCGTGTGCATGCTAGGAAAGAGCTGGACCACTGAGCTTCAGTATCCACGCATCAGTAGTTTAAAAGTCAACTAGCTGGGAGACTGGTGAGGTGCCTCTGAGCAGATATAAAAAGAAAAGAGAAGACGTTCAGAGAACAGGTGCCTGTCACTCCAGATAGAGGGAGACAAAGAGAAACCAGCAAAGGCAGGGGAAGTGTGAGAAGAAAAACCAGACGGAGGAAGGGGTCCTCTCTGAACCCGTGAGCCTGGCTTGTCGGCCTCATTTTTCTTTGCCAATTAGTGGACTGGAATGACTCAAACCCACCAGATCAGCCCAGAGCATACTCCTCTCTAGTCTGCATGATCTTTTAAGCTCTCTCTGGAATTTTCTGCTCATTTCTACTCTGTGGGCATGCCAATCAGGTTTCTGATTATGAAAAACCATGTCGTTCAAGTTTAGGATTGTAGAAGTTATTCCCAGAATTTGAAATGCAAACCTTCACTTTTGGATAGTGCTGTACAGTGTTTAATTAGGAAGTTGTTCCTTAGAGAGTGTTGAAATTGAGTCCTTCTGTTTAACATGTGGGTCAGCATTGAGACCCAGATCATGTTGTGACTTATGTAGGTCGCTTTTCATATGTAAGTATACCTGATGGATGAGAATCTGTCCTTAGCAAAAAAGCACAGGGGGTTAAATCTATTTCCATCAGTTCCTCAGAATCCTTACTTGAGAGGTGTCAAATCTCTTCATGAATTAAAATATTTTAGGTGATATTTTAATTTTTGCTTTGCTATGACTAATACTTGATAAGAGGCAACTTAAGGGGGGGAGGAATTTTTTTTTTGCTTATATTTTGAGGGGAAGTCCCTAGTAGCAAGGAAGGCACGGTGATATGGTGGGAGTTATGAAGCAGTGTGAGGCAGTTGGTTACACTTCATCCACAATCAGAAAACAGAGTGGATAACAAGTGGGTCTGGGCTATATATTCTCAGGCTGCCCCTTTTCACCTCCACAGCAAGGCTCCATCTCTGAAAGGTTTTACACTCTTCCAAAACAGTGCCACCAGAAGGGGGCCAATTGTTCAAACACCTGAATCTGTGGGAACATTTCACCCTCAAACCACAACAGATGGTAAAGTAAACTAAATTTCCACACAAAGGCTAAGACCCCTTGGATTTAAGGCTGAGAAAACCCTGGTCAGAAGCACATTCCTTGAGAAATGGGAGTGACTCCTTGACCCAGAAATGGCCTCATACTCAGAGAGCCCTGAGCTGAGTGTTCCATCCTCTTTGGCCTTTTTTATGATGTAAGAAGAGTCCCTTTGGCAAGCTTCCCTGGGATTACTCCTCTATAGATGGTGGATGGCTACCCTTGCCCCTGCCAGGGGTGCTGTCATGGTTGGAATCGGTCCAGCTTGGACTCACACTCATGTGATTAGAGCTTGATGTTGTCCACATCCAAACTGCATCACCTACTGGGCCTGCATCCAAAGGAAGGAAGGAGCTGAGCGCCTCCTGTGAGGAATTCTAGATTCTCGATTAGGGATAGCAGCATGCATTGCACAGCTAGTCTTCTCCCTCATTCCCTTTCATCTGAGGATGAGCCCTTTCCCTGCCCCTTTGGTGGGACACCAGGTTAGGCTGAAAATGTCAGCCTAGGTATAAAGGTTTAAATGTGGACATTGGAGAGTTCTCTCTCTCTCTCTCATTCTCTCTCTCTCTCTCTCTCTCTCTCTCTCTGTCACACACACACACACACACACACACACACACACAAAGTTAGTGAGGAGCCACTTTCATTCTCAACTGGCCTCGGAGGTGAGTGCTGGGGGCTGCATTAGCAGTGAGCACCTTGAGCACTGTCCTCGAGCTGAGCTCATAGACCTGACCTCACTGTCCTTCTGGCTCATTTGCTCCAGGCTTCCATTTGCTCTTCCATAAATGGTGCTTCAGTGGCTTGAGGACCAGGGTGCCAGGGCTCTGACAGTCACTGTAGGCCCTGGGGCTTTCTGCTGAAATTGGCACAAGCTTCACCACCAAATTCTGATCCTATCACTTCCCTGAAAGCTGTTATGTGCCCCACCCGTGTGCTAGCAGAAAGTCCCTTTATGGCAATGGGTTGGCTGAAGGAAGGCCTTTGTAGGACAATGAGAATATGTAGTTGTCTTGTGAGTGGAGGGACTAAGCTCTAAAGAGGTGTCAATGAGTAGAGGAAGGGTTAACTAAGATCACAAGCAGGGTGTTCAGAAGGGAGTATGGTAGCCTTGGGGGTCACAGGACAGCTCTGTAAGGAATGAAATTGGGGAGGCACCCAGTGTGCCATGATGCTTCATATTGGAGGGTGTGGTCATAGTGACTGTATCGTCTTATATTCACTGAAATCTAGCCTAATACCTGAGTAGTTGTTCCCAGTCTTGGATACCTCATTCTTGACCAATCTCTTCCTTTTTTTGGGGGGCAATGTCCCTCACAGGGTCTCTGCAACTTATTTTTCCTGTGAAGTAAGTGTGATTGGAACTTGAGAATGCAATGTTATTATGTACACCGGGCAGGGGAGATGCCATGATGACAAAGGTAGATTTTCCAGGTTGAGACTCATCCATTGCTCTCAGGATGAGCTGACCCCTGTGATTTCTCCCTAATTCTGGGAACTTGGCTGCATAATTTGTGGTGGTGGGAGACTTCACATTCTCCTCTAGGGGAACAAAAGAAAATTTTATATTATTAATTAGCTGTGCAAAGAAAATACACATTTTTATTTTCTGTGGTGGGTCTGTTCTTGTTCCACTGGGTAAAAAGACTTTCCTAGTTAACACATCTCAGCCTCTTCTGGCTTAAAGATATCTTTGATGTTAAAAATGGTCAATGTTAGGGAAGCATCTTTCTGGTAAGCCTCCACGGTTCACTTTTCTATTCCTACTGTCTCCTCTTTCCAAGATGGGGGTCTCATTAATGGAGTGTAGACCTCAGATCCTTGCACGTGGGCTCATATAAGCTATTTGCAGAGGTAATCAACTTCAAATGAAGATGCTGGTGTTCTTCTGGAGTTGGCTCTGTTCTCAGTTAAAGTAGTAGATAGCCCTGGATCCTGTTACTGGGTAGAGCACCCTCATGGCAGCCAGTCCTTCCATCAACTAAGGGACACTCACAGCTCAAGTCCATTGGTCTGTAAGATGATTGCTTGTGTTTTATTTTAAATCATAGGTTAAAACTTTATTCCTCCATGTGACAGTGTGGGGAGGTAGTCTATCACTGGAAGAATTCAGGCAATGGTGACTCTCACCTCTAGGGTAGACTAGTTATGCTTGCAAAGGCTTGTGGGAGTGGGCTTGGTTCTCTTTCTGCTCACCTACAAACAGGACAAACTGATCTTCCATTTGTTTTGTATCCAGTGTCTGTGAAAGCAGAGATCAGGTTCTAGCCTCCAGAACACCTTGTCTATGAAAAGACATTAATCCTGGTGTTCTTCTCCACCTACCAAACTTTAGAACTAGCTCTTGTGGAAAGGGTCGTAGAGGAAGCTTAATATGTCCTTTTTCCAGATACTCCTAATATCCAGTACCTCAGAATTTGACCATCCTTATCGGAAAGCCATTTTCATAATGATCAACATCAAATGAAGTTGTTGGTGTGGGTCCTGATCCAATAGGATTGTGTCCTTGTATAGATGGATTAAAAGGGAAGACACCTGGACCTGGAGACATACAGAGGAGGAGGATGTGAACACACAGTGGCAAACACCTGCAAGCCAAGGAGAGGGACCAGAAACAGATCCTCATCACCGTCCACCTTACTGCCAAAAGACAGAGTCTCTGGAATCTAAACTTCACTATTCAGCTAGGTTGAGTGGCCAGCGAGCTCCTGGAATATAGTTCTCTCTGTCCACCCACCCCTGTCCCCAGTTTGGGGATAGCAGGCATGGGCATCTATGACCGACTTCTATGTGAGTGCCAGGGATTCAAACTCAGACCCGCACGCTTGCACAACAAGGTTTTTACCCGCTGAGCCATCTCCCTCAGCCCCAGGTTTTTGTTTTCTTTTTTTGGGGGGGGGGTTTGAGACAGGGTTTCTCTGTGTAGTCCTGGCTGTCCTGGAACTCACTCTGTAGACCAGGCTGGCCTTGAACTCAGAAATCCACCTGCCTCTGCCTCCCAAGTGCTGGGATTAAGGGTGTGCATCACCACTGCCCGGCTTTTTTTTTTTTTTTTTTCCTCAAGAAAGTTCCACTGGGTAAAAAGACTTTCCTAGTTAACACATCTCAGACTCTTCGGGTTTAAAGATATCTTTGATTTTAAAAATGGTCAATGTTAGGGAAGCAGCTAATAGTCCTCCAAGTTCTAGTAGTCAGCTTCCCTGGGCCTCCTCTGCTCCTGATGGAGAACAGACAAATCATCCTCCAGAAGCATGGCAGGAAGCTGGAGGCTGATTACTTTCTATGAAAAAAATAGTTCAGAAGGTGTGGAAAGGAGCTTTACCCTTCCATTTCGAGGTAGATGTATGGTTTCAGGACTCTGAATAAGGAGGTATATTATTATTCATTGTCTCGGCTCTCCGGCATTTGTGGTTAACCCAGGCCTTGTATTGCTCAGATTATCCTTTCCTATTTCCAAACAGGGTTAGTGGGGCCACACTAGCCATGCCCAAGGATTTCCTAGATTTCTACCATCTACTGTAGGTGGGATAGTGTGACACGTGTTGCCTTACTTTTCATAGCAGGTGTTCAGGTTTTTATGAGGGTCAGAAAAATGTTTCTGCTGGTTCCTGTAAGTCCAAAGTATACATTCATCATACTTGGAGCTCAGAAATTAGCCTCTTAATGGCAGTCTTGGATCGAGTGTCTTTCCCACAAATCCCTTCATCTCCTCTCACATATGATGAACAAGGCTCCTCCCAACTGGAAGTCTTAGCGTGCAGTGTTATTATGGAAGCAAAAATCAGGCCAAGAAACCTCTTGTGAGTATCATTGCTTGAGTTTCCTATGTCCATCTGAACCCTATTCTGCTAGCTGACTTAGGCCTTTAAAGTTGAATGCTACCACTCACTACCTAATCAAATAAATATGACTTCATTCTTCTAAACTTGATTTCACACCTGTCAATTCTAGAAGTCAGATTTAGCATCCTATAGGTGATAAAGGGAGTTCAAATGCCACGCTGAGGAGAGTAAACATTAGCTCTTAGCAGCCTGAGAATAAAAGGTGCTCCTCCTTCCGTGTGGTCTAAGATTTACTTGGAAGGCCAAAATTTCTTGCAAAGTTTAAAGAAATAAACAGTAAAACAAGTAAGCAGTAGATGATATAGAGACAAAGTTGGATTTTGACCAAGACATTGTAATGTATGCATAGTCTTCATGGACCTGGAGGATTGAGGCCAAGTTGAGTGACTCAGATAAGTTTTACAATCTGTCAGAAGCTCAGCTACTTCATCTATAAAATGAGGCATAACAACATGGCCCTGTCCCTAAGTATCCCTTGAGAGCTCGGTGGGACACTGGTAGAGCAATGAGCCAAGGCAATTAAACAAGTTTTCTCCCCAAGAATACCAGCTACCTAGTCCACTATGTGATCCAACAGAGATCAAACTGAAGTGACCAGTTAAAAAGGGTAGATCGAAAGTCATGCAAGTGGCATGTAAATGCATCACTTAGGAAGTAGAGGCAGAAATGTTAGTTCAAGGCTACCCTCAGTTATATAGAGTTTGAGGTTACATAGCAACTTGTCTAAAAAATCCCTGCCTCCTTTTTGTTACAGCTTAAAGCTAGAGGTCACTGCCTTAGGTGGTCAAAGCTTCTTTTATTTACTGTGTCAGAGTTGTGTTGCTGCTCTATCATGTGATTAAGGCTTTGGAATTTTAATTCTGTTCTTCAGTTGCAGCTAGGCAACTTGCAAAGCCTTCTATTTTCTCAGTTGTTGACCATGTTAAGTTCAAGTGCCCAGGACCTGAAAGTAAAGCCTCCAAGAAAGAAAATAACCAAACCACCACTACCATCAACCAAACATGCACCACCAATAACAATACCACCACCACCAACACCAAACCACCACCATCAATAACCACACCACCACCACCAATAATCAAACTATCACCACCAACAACCGAAGGAAGAAAGCATCTTACCAATGTTTCCTGAATTGTCACTGTAGGAAACTTGATGAGAATTTGATAATGTGGCATCTGGGTGGTCCTTGGTGTATACAGGTCTGGCTTTCATGACATCACAGTTAGTCTCATAGCTTGCTTGCACCTTTGCCTTCACCTTCCAAAACTGTCCTTTGTAAGATGTTGTTTTCATCTTGATTAACAGACAAGTTTTATTTCCTCAGATACCATGAACCTTCTACCAGCTGCCTTTGTTGAAATCTTCAAATCCCCATTCCAAGGAGAGTCCCCTCTGCTGTTCAGTCCTTTGTTTCTTTAAGGAAAGCCTTCCTGGTGGCCTCACCCACTGAGAGACCTCTGCCTGCAGGCTCCAGTGCCCTCTGTTCAGGCTGCCTCGCTCACAGCCTGTCTGTTTGCACAGCTGTCTTGTAGATTTGTAAGGCCCTCAAGGACAAATCTTTGTCCCTCCACATCCTGGGTGTCCGTATGTTCTGCAAATTCTGACTGCAGTCATCACTTGTCATTACTGATAAAGATTCTGAAATAAAAATAATTATCTTTGATGAGAGAATGGAGTTTATATAATTTTAAGAGCAGTCCGATAGATTTGTGACAGGTAAAATCAGACGGCAAGCCTATTTCATGCTTTGATTAAAAGCACGGAAAAATGGATACCTTTCCACAATAAAGTTTATCTGTCTGTTTATTTATTCATTAATGACTGATTGAGGCAAGGTCTCTCTACAGAGCTCTGGCTGTCCTGGAACTTGCTCTGTAGATCAGGCTATTCTTGAACTCAGAGATCTGCCTGCTTCTGCCTCCCAGGTGCTGGGATTACAGACATGAGTCACCATGGCTCATAATAAAGTTTCTTACTTGCTGTTTAATGTCCAAGGTGTCACAACGATTGACCTGTGAACCAAAAATGTCTTTTCATTTATCCACTGGAAGGGGACCTAGAACTGAATATTGAATCTTTCTAAATGATTTTGGAACCGTAAATATTCTGTTGAGAAACTATTTATTTAATCCAACAAGAGATGTTCTCTCAAAAGCAGTCAGAGCACTTGTCAGCCCCACCCTTCTGCAGTGGTTTTTGTTAGATCTGAGTCACTTAATCATATGGAGAAATTTTCTTATGAGGCAGATAATGAATTTTCTAAGGGAGACCATATTTTCTGGGTATTTGGGGCTTTGGTCTGAAAAGTTAAGAATTCAGAAATAACTGTATCGATGACATGGATGACATGAACTTATCAATAATAACTCTATTATCCAAAAATGCAACTTGAATTGCAAAGAAAATTCATATATATATATATATATATATATATATATATATATATATATATTCCTAAGAATCTGGAGAACTAAGTCATGGAAATACACATTTTTAGATTTCTGCACTAGCCTTTATTTGATAATGTTGCCGAATATACCTTATTTTAAAAGAGAGGCTGCAGTGTACTGTGGAAAGGCGCCTGCCTGGCCTGGCCCTATGGTGGCAGGTGGATACTGCTTGGCTGTAGCTAGTGTTTGGAGTGTGCTTCACAGGCATCTGTGTATGGGCTTGTTTCTCAGCCCATAGAGCCACTGGG